CGTGGCGTAGACACCTGCATGTGAGTGGTGCCCTGTGAAGATACCCGCTATGTTGACAGGAGAGCGCTCGGCAACATGTCCGTAGTTCCTCATCCTGGTCAGCAGCCTGTCATAGTCTGCTTGTGTTCGGGGCATCTGATGATTAAAGGGCTCCAGCAGGTGTTGGGCTCGTGACGCGCCAACGCCTAACGCTCTGAAGAGAATCAGCGTTAGGATCTGAAAGTTGGGGATGACAAAGCCAACAGAGTTAGCCTCGTCACGGGCCATCTCGAATCGAGCTAATACTGAGTCGATTCGCTCGCCCCTTTCGACGCGGAAGTCGATAAGGGCAGTGCCAGAGTTGAGCTGGCGCTCATCTTCCAGATTTTCAAATTGGGTGCTCAGTAAGTACAGTATATATGTTACTGCATCCGTTGGCTGTCCATTGACAGTTACACCATAATTGATGATCTGGGAGGGGACCTGCATGGCGATACGACGAGCCAGACCTTGAAGGCCTCGTTGTAGTGCTGCAGCTTGTTGTGGTGGTGTCATATTACCGCTCGTTACGTTTAACCATGCATGTACTTCGCGAACGTATTCGCGGAAAGGCGTAGTACCGGCAGGGTCCCATGAAGGGCCAGTAGTACGCGTGTCGTCCATCCCCTGCCGCATGTATCCCACAGCACATCCCATTATCACCCATAGAATGCCGAAGATAGTTATCTTGATCCAATGCATATGCATTTCGGCTTCGGTGATTGGTTTAGGCTGTGGTTTGTCAGGCTCTGGCGTGGAAGCCGTGAGGCGCCTGACCGGCACGGGATGCAGGTGGCCCCGCTGCGGGTAGCCCCGCAGGGTGACCACGTTCTCGATCGAGTTGCCGATTGGCATCTGGTGGAAGTCGGGAGTGAAGTGGCGCAGTGAAGTAGGAGAGAGCGTCTCGAGTTCGCGGGTTGCCCCGCTAGCTCGATCGCGGTCTGGCTCCGCTCCTCGCAGAGCCGGCGCAACATGGTATTCCACCGTAGTAGTAGTCCACCAAGTTGTGCCGTGGATTACAGGAATCAGAGCGAGAGCCAGCCACACGAGAGTGTAGCCAGCTCCGCTACCAAGTCGAAAACAGGCTGGTAAGCTTAGGTATACAGTCCGCCTTAGGCGCTTCCATATCCCAGGCTTAGGCTCATAGCGCATGAGCAAGAGAGCGAGACGAAGCATGGGATCTGGAGTAAAGAGTAGGATGGGCATCGTCAATGGAAAAAGATGTTTTCCGATCTCAGATGCAAGTAGTGCGCCTCAGTGAGGCACAGTCACATATCATGCCGGGCCCGGCTTGAGCCAGGCACGGCAGCGGTACATGCTCGATTTATACCTCGCCTTTAACCTTCTCCGTTTAAAGTCGTCTGGCGCAGCGCCGCCAGCTCCAGCCCCCGAATGGCGGCGGCCTGCAGAGTCTGGAAGGACGGGAGGGCAAGAAGCCCCATCAAGGAAGAACCTCCTGCCAGAGAACTTGAGCCCATATGGCCCGCGGCACTCCACGGCTCCCAAGATCATTCATGCGCAGGCACTTAGCCTACATGCATGCATGGTATTGTTGTTTATATGCAGGTATGTGTATGTGCACTATATATTTACATACATACAAACATACATACAGACATACATACATACATGTGTACATGTATACACATACATTTATATGTTGGTCTGCTGCCCATGGAGCGGAGGAGGAGGAAGAGGAGGAGGAGCTCCTGAGGAAGGAGGAGCTCCTCCTTCCGCCGACGCCTTCGTCTGCAGCTTCGCCTGCGGCGACTCCGCCTTCACAGGCAAGAAAGCGCCTCCGCCAGAGGGACGGTGGCAAGAGGAGCGAGGAGCGAGAAAGGAGAAAGGGAAGAGGAAAGAGGTAAAGAGGTAAGGATGACCCTTGATCCCCCCCTCCGCATCTTGTTTGCCTGCCCCTTCTCTTCCTCTTCCTCCTCCTCAGTCTCATGTGACTGTATCATGCGACCCCTTGTGGGTCTCTAGGCGTGAGAGATTCTTCCCCCCCACAACCCCCCCTGGGGATCCCAAACCTGCAATGTGACCCCCCCCCTGGGCCCGGCCCGAACGCGTCATGGGAGCAGAGAGGGCCCCAAAAACATGCCAAAAGGACCCAAAGTGGGCCCTAAGACGATCCAAGAGGGCCCCGAATCGTCGAATAATCGTTCCAAGGCGCCCGAGATGGCATCCAGACGGCCCAAGATGCCTCCATAACGCCCAAAGACAGCCCAAGACGGCCCAAGAGGCCTCCAAGCGGTCCTCTAGGAGGGCCCAGAAAGGCCAAAATCATTGATTTTACAGTGGTTATTGAAGGAGTTTGGCATTTGCTCTTGTTTGGCATTCCGACGGCTCAAGACAGCCCAAGAGGCCCCCAAGATCGCTCCAAGATGACGACCCAAGAGGCCCCCAAGACGGCTTCAAGAGGGCCCCAAGAGGCTTCCAAGACGGCCAAGATGGCCTCCAAGACGGCTCAGATGGCCCCAAAATGCTTGCAAGACGGCCCAAGATGCACCAAAAACGACCTAAGATGGCCTCACGATTGCCCAAGGCGGCCCATGAGGCTCCCAAGAGGCCTCCAAGACGGCCCAAGAGGCCTCCAAGAGGTCACCCAGGAGGACCCAAAGAGATCAAAATCATTAATTATCCGACGGTTGTTGAGGGATGTTGGCATTTGCTCTTTTTGTTGGCATTCCGATGGCTTAAGACGGCCCAATGGGCCCCCAAGATTACCCCAAGATCGCCCACGAGGCCTCCAAGATGGCCCCATGACGGCCCAAGAGGCCCCTAAAACGGCCCCCACCGGGCCCCAACAGGCCTCCCAAACAACCAAGATGGCCTCCAAGACGGCTAAGACGGCTCAAGATGCACCCAAGATGGCGTAAGATGGCCTGCACATGGCTCGAGGATGACCCAAGATGGCCTCCAAGACGGTCAAGATAGCCCCATGATGCCTCCAGTGCAATCCAAATTGCACCAAAAACGGCCTAAGATGGCCTCAAGATGGCCCACGAAGGCCCAAGAGGCCCCTAAGAGGACTCCAAGACGGCCCAGGAGGCCTCCAAGAGGGCCTCAGAGGCCTCGAAGACCCCTAGGACAGCTCCAACACGGCCCACAAAGGTCCCAAGACCGCCAAAAAAGCCCCGATGACGTCCCCAGAAGGCCCCCGGACGGCGCCAAAAGGGGGCCCACAAGGAGAACCCGAACCCGCATTTCCAGCCTTCAGCCCCAACACGCCCCCAGATTGCCTCAAAAAGCCCCCAACACGCCCCAATAAGCCCCCAGGGAGCCCGAACAAAGCCCCCAACCGCCCCCAAGAACCTCCCAGGAATCGGACAAGCCTCGTGGAGTGCAGTCCTGGACGCGCAATACTTTATACAGGGGTCGGCGGATGTGGCGCAAGCCTATAGAATCCACGTCCGGAAGTGACGCGTTGCCGGAGGCAGGCCGCGGAGCGGAGCGGAAGCCCTAATGCAACGTATCCAATGTATCCAATGATTGCGTAATTGCTACATATTGCGTTGTGTTACATTGTTATCTCTCCCCCCCAAACCCCCCTCCGGAATCGCGCCACTTCCGCCGCCGACCCAAAGGTGGAGGGCCCCTTGTGGGCCTAGAAACCCACAAAAACCAATGGGAAATCAATGATTTCGGCTCCTTGGGCCTCTGGGGGGTCCAAGAGGGCGCGAAGACGGCTCAAGATGGTCTCAAGACGGGAGAAAACCGCCCCAAGACGGCCCAAGATGGCCCCAAGAGGGCCCAACGCGCCGCAAAGATGGCCCAAGAGGGCACCAAGACCGCCCACCAGATCGCTTCCAGAGGCCGAAAACATAGATTCCCCTTAGGCTTTTGAAAGATGTTAGCGTTCTCGCCTTTCTCCGGCTCTCAAAGGCCCATGACGGCCCAAGCAGCCTCCAAAAAAACCTCAAGACAGCCCAAGAGGCACCCAAAGGGACCCCAAGACGGCCCCAGAGGGCCCCAACACGGCCAAAGGAGGACCCCTAAGACGGTCCAAGAAGCCCACAATACGGCCCAAGAGGGCCCCAAGAAGGCCCCAAGGCGGCCGCGAGAGGCCCCCAAAAAGGCCCCCGAAGGAGCCAAACAGCGCAAAAGCGCTCCAAAACGGCCCAAGACTGCCCCAGACGCCCCCAAGAAACCCCCAAGAGGCCCCCAAGAGGCCCCCCAAAAGCTCCAGGACCCCCCCAAGAAGCCTCCCAGAACCCCCCCAGGAGGCTCCCAAAAAGCCCCCAAGAGGCTTCGATACGCCCTGGAGAACCTCCAAACGTCGCCAAAAAGTCCCCGAAAAGGGGCCGAGTAAGCAGCACATGCAAGATTCGATATCGCATAGGGTTCGAGGAAGCCGCATGGCATTGAAGGCGAAAATCGTTGTCCTGGAATGCATCCCAGAAAAAGCAGCATCGCAATCTCCGCGGCCCGCGGCCACAAACTTTCCTGCCATGTGCGCCGTCCGTCAGGCTCAACGCTCCGCGCGCAAGCGCGCGCGGCACCTTCGCGTTCTGCGACGGGGCTCGGGCGGCGAAAACGGCAGGCCCTCACAGAGCCTCGGGCTAGCGGGCTCCGCGCGGCTGCAAAGGCGGCTGGCCGGGTGCCGCTCAGCGGGGCGCGTGTTCACGCGTGACCAGAGCGCTTCATTGCGAGGAAAATTTATTCCTTTTTCCGGCACTTCGGGCACAGGATTCCAGCGCTGTCTCGCTGGGAGCTCCAGACTGTTTCCCGGGGATGACGGCTGAACACGCCCCGCACTGAACCACGTCGCTCCTCTGGCGGCACGGCGCGCAGGTCCACTGCGGCAGCTTCCTCGCCGCGTACTTCTCCATATTCGGCCGCGGCGTCACCCCGCGCGCCGAGCACGGCGGGTATTTGCAGCTCTCACAGTAGTAGTCATACCCATGTTTCAACCGCTCTTGCGGCCTCGCTCCGCAGAGCCCATCTTTTCCCCGGCGCAGGGGCCTCATCTTCCTGCCCGTTCAGTCCGTGCAAATCAGGTCCTTCGCCCCGCCGTGGTTTTTGAAGATTGTCTCGTCGAACTCCTCCTTCGGCTTCTGGTCCGCGCACTGCGCGCGCTTGAACAGGCGGTCTTCCGACTGCACGTTGAAGCGCAGCCGACCTGGAGCGCAGCCGATGCAAATGGCGCGGTCGAGGCCCCCCCGCGCCTTCAGGACGTTCACCTCTCCGAGTCTGAAGTGGGCCAGTGCCTTCTCCTCCCCGCACTTGCAGCGCTCGAGGACGCCCGCCCCTCTAAAGGAGAAGGGCGCGGAACGGGCGGGTCCCACGCCTATTCCAGCCTTTCCGGCCTGCTTCTGCGCGCAGAGGGCGCGCCTCCCCCACGCACCCTGGCTCAGCACCGCCACGGCGTGCTCCACGGGATCGCTCGGTCTCATGCCACTGCCCGAGAAGTTGCCCGATCCCCTCCGCCGGTGGCAGTCGCCGCACTGGAAAGTGGCGTCCACCAACTTCTTGGACGACCTGGTCGCCGCCTCCTTCTCTGATCTGGCCCAGCCGGCTCTCGCCTGCCCCGTCGTCATCTCCCTAGCTGTCAGGGGGCGCAGGAGCCACGGGCCAGTTTGGCGCCCCTGGCGGAAAAGCATCGGCGAAAAGGGCTGCGCGATGATCAAGTCGTCAGCTCTCCTGGCGCGGCTATGGCCACATGCCCCGTGGGGGCCATGGACGAACGGGGCGTCGTCCGCGCGTCCAGGTGGTCGACGATGGCCTGAGGCAGCGCGGCGCCGGCGACGCAGTGGGCCGCGGCGGCGAAGTGCTGGGCCAGCGTGCACCCCGCGCGCTTCACCATGGCCTTGAAGCCGGGACTGCGATCCCAGGACACTTCCTGCTTCACGGGGAAGACACCCGCCAGCTGATTGCCAAAGGGGCGCGCCGTGCTCCCGGGGATTTTCACCATGATCGCGTCGGGCACGCGCTGCAGCACCAGCTCTCGCTCGGACCCGTGCTCGCCCACCAGCTTCGAGTCGTCGGGGTGAAGGGCCCAGCCCGTCACAGTCCCCCAGGAGTGCTTGCAAGCTCCCGCCTCCGCATTCTCCGTCGCGGCGAAGCGAGCGCGCATCCCATGGAAGATCCGAAGCACGCCAGGAACTCCGCCTGTCTTGTTCTCTGGGTACATGAGCCAATTCAGCCTGGCGTTCGCGAGCGCCTCCTTGGACCTGCATGCGTCGCCCCGAGTGAGGGGGGCGTCGCGCGCCACCACCCAGAGGAGCTGCTTCCCAGCATTGGCTGCCGCATTCGCCGCTCGCCGCGTCAAAATCCTGCTCTTCGGGGCGTTGTACGGGTGCACGAACAGCGCGTCCGCGAACGCCGTGCTCACCTCCCGCTGTCTGGCATCGCTCTGAGAGGCGACGCGGCAGCGCCGACGGCGTTCCGCGCTGCAATCAGCGCGCCCCAGAGATTTCATGTCCTCCCAGGCCCGACCTTCTCCGAACATCCGCGGCCACTCAACTGACCAGAGCGCGCGCACTTCGCCTTCCCGCGGCCGAGGTGCCTCGTCGAGGCCCTGGCGCTGCCGGGGCTTGCGGGCATCCAGGAGCCGGGCACATCAGTGGGGGAACCGCAGACGAAAACGTACATCCTGTCCGACAGATCTCCAGCGCGCGCTTCCGCGAGAAAGCTCCTCCACCACGGGTCTGAGCAGCGGTGCGACTGGCTCAGTGCGTAGCGGTGAGTTGCCGATGTGTCCACGTCCGGAGGTGGCGTGTTGCCGGAAGCAGGTCCGCGGAGGCTATAATGCAACGTATCCAATGTATCAAATGATGGCATAATTGCTACATGTTGCATTGTGTTACATTATTATGTGCCCCCCCTGCCCCCCCCCCAGGGGCCACACCACTTCCGCCGACCCAAAGTGGCCCGTCCCTCCTGCGCCTCAAAAGCCTGCAATCCAACCAAAACCTATGGAAAATCTGTGATTTGGGCCCCGTCGCCCTCTTGGGGCCCCACGAGGGCGTCCAGACGGCCCAAGATGGCCTCTGAACGGGCCAAGACGGCTCCAAGACGGCCCGACACTACCCCAAGAGAGCCCAAGAAACCCCGAGGATGGCCAAGATCATCAATTATCCGATGGTTGTTTGTTTTTAATGATTTTAGCGTTCTCGCCTTTTTTCGACCCTCAGAAGCCCATGACGGCCCAAACAGCTTCCAAAATGGCCACGTAAAGGCCCCAGAGGCTCCGAAGAGGGTCTCAAAACGGCCCAAGAGGGCCCCAAGACGTCCCAAAGAGGCCTCCAAGACGGTCCAAGGGGCCCCCAAAACGGCCCAAGAGGACCCCAAGAGAGATCCAAGGCGGCCGCGAGAGGCCCCAAGAGGGCCTACAAAGAACCCAAGACGCCCCAAGAGGGCCCCCAGAGGACCCCCAAGAGCACCTTCAGTAGACACAAAAAAAAGATTTTCCCATGGTTGTTTGAAGATTTCAGCGTTCTCGCTTATTTCGACTCTCAGAGGTCCAGAACGACCGAAACAGCCTCCGAAGTGGCCCCCAGATGACCCAAGAAGTCCCCCCAGGCAGCCCAAAGAGGCCGCCGAGATGCCCCAAGAGGCCCCCAAGACGGCCCAAGGGTACCCCAAGACAGTCTCCGAAGAGACCAGACAGCGCAAGAGCGCCCCCAGGACGCCCACACGGGGCTCCGAGAGATCCCCAATGATACCTCCCAGAGGCGCCCAAGAGGCATCCCAGACGCCCCCGCGAGGACCCAAGAGGCCCCAAAGAGGCCTCCAAGGGGCCCCCAAGAAGTTCCCAGAGGCCCGACAACAACTGGACTGTACGTGCTCCGGACGTGCACCCCGCGAAGCGAGAGGAATCATCCTCCTCCTCCATCCCAAAGATAGCCCATCCCTGTCGCACCTCCACACGTGTCGGTAGGGCGGGCTGGGCGTCTCGCCTGAGACTCCCACGTCATGTGTGAGCCTGAAGCTGAACAATTTGCGACACTTTCCAAGAATGGGGGGCGGGTCGTTTTCAAGATGTGGCTCTCGCATGAGCGCAACGCACATTCGTCTTAACAAAATGTTTGAAACCACTTTACTGATATAGGGCGGTTCCTCTTCAAAATGCTACTCTCTCCTTAACGGCACGAACACTCGCCAAAGTGCGCAACGGTTCTCAAGGGTGGAGGGCGGTTCCTTTTTCAAAATATTGCTCTCGCATTATCGCCGCGCGCATTCGTCTTAAACGGTTGCAAGATTTTACATTGTGAGTAACGCTCATTTCGCAGAAAAACCCCAAACAGTGCTTGCACTGAGGGAGTCTTACTTGTCCTAACCATCTGGGGACCAGCGCCCGCTTTTAGTCGCCGTGCCGCCCGTCGCCGTCCGTCGCCGTCCGTCGCAGCCTTGCTCTTCTTTGCTTTGCTCTACTGTACTTTACTTTTCCCCAAACAGTGCTTGAACTTACGGCTTACATTGCTTAACCATCTCGGGGTGAGTGGCGGCTTTGGCGGGCGGTGCCGCCCGACGCCGCCGTCGCCGTCGCCGTCGCCGTCGCCGCCGCTCGGGGCGAGTGGCGGCTTTTGCGAGCGGTGCCGCCCGTCGCCGCCGTCGCCGTCGCCGCCGTTCGGGGCGAGTGGCGGTTTTTGCGGGCGGTGCCACCCGTCGCCGCCGTCGCCGTCGCGTTGACTTTCCTTCTTGAAAGAAGCCGCCGATCCCGGAAGGCGTGTGCGACATCCTTCCTGGTCCGACACTGCGTCATCTTGCGTTGCTCTAACACGTTCTCCTCCTTCCTGACCTGGACCCCCACCCCCAGGTTTCCACGCTGCCCGACCCTATAGTGCGCAAATTTGCATTACTCGACCACGCTCTCCACCTCCTTCCTGTCCTCGACCCCTCCCCAGGTCTCCACATCGCCCGACCCTTCACCCAGCACAGACATCTGGGGATGGCGTCTTCGGACCCCTCCGAACTGCATTATTGGGACCCCCCACCCCGCAATTTCGCGCCCGGAACCGACCAACCTCCCCCTCCTTGCCTCGGCATCCCCACCCCTCGGAAGTGCGTTCTGGGGACCGCCCACCCCGTACTTCCGCGCCAGGAACCGACCAACGCCCCCCTCCTCGCCTCCGCATCCCCACCCCTCGGACCTGCATTCTTGGGGCCCACCACGCCGCAATCTCGCGGCCGGAACCGACCAACGCTCCCCTCGTCGCTCCCCTCGTCGCCTCGGCACACCGCGGACGCTCTGTTCTTGGACCTTCTCGCCCGGAACCATCCAACGCCCCCCTCCTCGCCCCCCTCCTCGCCTCGGCATCCCCAACCCACGGAAGCGTTGTTCTTCGGACCCCCCCACCCCACAATTTCTCCTACTTTCAGTGTAAGCGCTGCTTGGCCACGGCTGTGACCCCTCTGTAGTCAGAAGTTGCTGGCTGGCACCAGCAAGTATAGTGAGTGCCGCGCCACCAACCAGCAGACTCTGCAGGCTAGCCTTGAGAAAGCCCCTCAGGAGGCCCTGTCGTAAAGATCCAGTGGTCCTCCCTCGCTCCGCCTCCTTCTCCTCCAACTCCTCCTCCTCGTCCTGCACTACAGTGTCATGCCGATCCATCGTCCTCATCATGCACATCCTCATCATGACCAACAATTGTGGCATGTCCTCGCCCGAAGATTCCGAATCCGATTACTCGGCTACCTGTTCTGCCAACATCGTGCTCGTCCCCCTGACCACAAGCGGCGCCGAGAGATTCCAGACGCGCTTCCAAGCTGTCGCACGCGATGCGCGTCTCGTACGCGAAGGCAGCGACCTTCTCGATGGCGGTCGTCACCTAGTTACAGGGCGACAACAAAAAGAAACATAACCGATTTCGGGGACAACAGGAAACGCTGCTGTGTGAGCAGGTTGTCGCTGATGCCGCTGAGTACCATCGTTCTCGGCTGCTTGATACAGCTCGGCGTTGCTTGCTGCTCATTGGTGCTGCGCGTTTTTTTTTCTGACTGCTGCACTGCTGATTCCTGTTTCTAATCCCACAAACATTTTCAAGCTGATCATCCTCCGATTCATCTTCCTCTTCATCGCTCCCCCCTCCTTCTCCTCCTCCTCCTCCTGCTCCTCCTCCTCCTCATCCTCCTCTACTTCCTCCTCCTCCTCCGACTCCGACTCGACCTCCT